TACAAAATTTACTTGGTGCTACTTTGTGATATCACTTTTTATGTAAAACGGGTTTTTAGAGAAAGAATGTTTTGTAGTATATAAATGTTGTAAAACAGGGTTTATAGAGAAAGAAGCTTTTGGAGTATAAATAAAAAAATAATTTAATTTAAATACAATACGTGTTGTGCGTGTACTTGGCGCCTGTTTTTACCTTTTTTTAAAAAGGTAAGTTTTTATTGGAATAACGTTAAAATTTTGGACACTGAGAAGTTTTTTTATAAGAGATTAGTTTCTGAAATGCTCCACATTAAGTTGCAGGACAACCCGTTAAATGTAATGTCGGATACCGACAGTTTGAAACCTTATTTTTCTTTTCTAGAATTATATAAACCAAATGTTTAGATGTTACTTTTGTAAACTTGTTTTTCGACCTATTGTGAACTTGTGATCTCCGTATCATATAGTGGGGATATCTTTATATATATCCTTGTTGTTAGTTTTCTTGTCAGTACACAATATTTATATTTCATCGTCATGTTCGATTGACATTATTTTGTTATATTGAAGCGATGTGTTAACTATTTGAGTGAGTTTTATTAATTTGTTATTTTTTAATTTTATTGAAGTGTTTTTTTGCGCTAATTATATATTATTTCCATTTGATGTAACAATTATTACACTGAGGAAGGTCCAAAATTGTGGACTGAAACGTTTGTTTTTTTGTGTCTTTTTGAATAAAGACTATTGTTCATACGCTGTCATCCTGTATTTTATTGCTCGTATCGGCCTATTAATTAATTTGAATTTAAGAACGTTTATGTATGTAAAATAATTTTTTTATTATATACAAATAAATAATTTACAGATAATCAAACTACAGAACATGATAATATTTCTCTTGGAGTGCCAGAAATATTTAGATCTACTTTATTTTGGCTAGAATCTCAAAAAAAAAACAGACGAAAAAGCGTCAAAGTAAAGAGAAAATTCTGTCAGTAGCTACTTCCGCTCAGCTCAATGGCAAGCATATCACACTGCTAAAGCTGCTGAAAATTTTCAGAAATTAGTAGAAATTGAAAAAAGAAAGAAAAAACGTCAAGAAAATGCTATAGAAAAAAAGAGAATACCAGAAGAAGCAAGACTAAAAAGAGTTTTGAAAAAAAAAGAAAACAATGTTATAGAAAAAAAAGAGAACACAAGAAGAAACAAAACTAAAAAGAGTTTTGAAAAAAGAAGGAAACATGAAAATTCATCCAAAAACTAAGAAGAAAAGAGTTTCCAAATAAGAAAACAATAGCTTAAAAAATAAAGAAAGTTTTATTCTAAGTAATAAAAAAAAATGAAAGTGAAACTGCAAGTGATTGAAATAACAATAGATAAATAAATATATATTATAATAATGTCAATATAAATATTTTAAATATTATATAGTAATGTTAATATATATCACATAAATATATATTATATAATATATTTCTATTATAATAAATATATATGTTATAATGACGTTGTATTACTTTTTTCTGGTTTTATTCAATAAAAATACTTAATGTCAAAACTAATAAAGTCAAAATTTCATGTTCATTGTGTATCACTAAAAAGACGTTCATACGACATGTCAGTAATAGAGACGTTCCTATTTTTACAACGTATCAATAATAGGGACGCTTTTATTTCTATGACGTGTCCATAATTGGGACATTTGTACGTCTAGCACCCATAGACATATAAGAAATAGACTGCGCGTCCCGTATCTTTTCTGTGCAGAAAGAATGGTCAAACTTCGGACGAGGATAGATGCTTTCACCCGAGTCTCTATCCTTGTTTAGTGACGCGGTGATTGGCGGACAAGAAAAGTAGTAGGAATGAGAAATAGCGTAGTGGGGCAATAGAGAAGCATCGAGCGATGAAGGGGCGACAGTAGGCGATTGACAGCATAGACATTCTATGGAGTTGTCTTCCGAGTGGGGAGTCCCCACTCCAGGTACTGAAAGACAGAGACAGAGACTCGGGTGAAAGCATCTGTCTCACTCCGAAGTTTGACTCACTTCCCCTCTCACACGCGCAGTCTATTTCTTATACGTCTATGCTAGCACCCATCAATGATACAGGAAATATGTGTCACAAATTGGGACTATTTCAAAGTCATGTGTCACTAAATGGTACAAAAACAATGTTTACAAAGATATTATAAATAAATTACAGATTTTTAAATAAGTAGGAAAAATTAATTTTATTAAAAGCTTAAATGTCCACATTTTCGAAAAAAATCAATTTTATTCTTATTGTGACATATATATCAATAATTTTTTTAAATTTATTGTCACGATGAGGTAAGTGTGTCACTAATTGGGACATTTACCTTATTGATTCCAGCCAATCGCGGATTAGCTGGTCACATGATCAAGTTGGCGATTCTCTCTAGAGGTTCTCTACCATTGGCTGTCAGCAAGTGTTCCACCAATTCCGCACGCAACGCTATTTCTACTTTACCCGTTTTTCTTCTCCTATGTGCATTAAAAGTCTCTTCTCAAAGTGAACGCAGTATACATAAGCTGCGTTCCGATATTCATTGCCAGTACTGAAAATCTATAGCACATGTGACGTGAATATAGAGTTTTAGTACTGGTAATGAATGTCGGAACGCAGTCGTACTTTATCCGAAAACAGAATAAACTTTTTCATTGTCTCTTGCCGCCAATATTGAATGTGTTGTTTAATGTAGAAATATCAAAGTATTCATTGTTTTTAAGTTATAAATTCAATAAATATAATAGATTTTTACTATGTATTATAGTTTATGTATTATATTTAGTATTATATTTATGTATATATTATTATGTATTGTATTTAGTAAATATAATACATATTGATTAAATAATAATATTTTTTCTATAATATACATATAATCTTATACATATATAATGTTTAGTATATAATGTTAATTAGTCAATAATTAAAATTTTAATTAAAAAAATAGATAATAGAATAAAATGTCTATGCAAAATTGAAAGACTTGTTTACATATAAATATTGCGATTAAAAAAAAGTATTTAATGATTATGTAAATGATAGAAGAAATATAATGTTTTACGATCACCCTATGTAAGAACTCGTGAACACACGTCAAACGCCGAGGTCGATCAATAAGTAGAGAAGATCTGTTTTGTCAACCAACGTAGTGTAACACAACGCTTTGCGTGAAACAGCCGTTTCGCGAAGCGCGTGAGTGAGAATCATGTTTCGGTAATTCTTGCTATTCTCCGAGTGTCACGAAGATTTTCGGTTTTGGTGGAAAGTAAGTAAATAACACAACTCAAAATTTAGTACTCGCGCGAACTATAGAATCTTTCTGTGATTATTTAAAATTGTTTGTTTAAATTGCTAAATGTTTTCTTTAGAGTCATTTCGGATTTTTTATTTTCAAATGTTGATAGGCATTACAAGGTCTAATTTCACGAGTTTTTATAATAAAAAAAAAGAAAAAAAATCTTCAAAACACCGAAGAGTTTGGTAGAATAAATAATTTTTGTTCTTTTTTTCAGCAACAATGACATTGCTAGAAGACAGTTGGAAGGAAGCTACGTCGGGTCTAGATCCTGCGGTATGCGATGTTTGGTTCACGCGTCTGCAAGAGGTTTATTCAGAAGAAAAACGCACGTATCACAATTTGGATATGCTCAGGGAAAAGTTAAATCACTTTTATGAAATCAAAGACAATCTCAAAAACCCACGAGCTGTCTTGCTCGCTATATTCTTTCAAAAGTGAGTAAGAAATAAAACCTCGTATAATAATTGTTTATTCTTCGTGTATTTCTGACAATAGACGATTTGAAAAATTTGATTGCAGCTTCGAATACGACCCAAAGGCTTTGAATGGCGAAGACAAAAATCTTGAGCATTTCAACACATTCGCTGACGAGGCTAATATTCCAGTTGTGAGTGTAAATTTTTGCAGAAAATCGCGAGCAATTTGTAAATAAGCAATTTGTTAATTTTGTTTAGAACATAACAAAACTCTTTATTTTTCAAGGATGCGGAGCGTAGAGAAGAAACGTGCGCCTTACTCAAAGTAGCGGCAACTCACAGCACCGAAGCGCACAAAGTGGACGGCGCTTTCGGCTACGAGGATGCTCACTACTTCTTAGATCTTGATATGGCAGTGCTTGGCTCTCCTCCGGATAGTTACGCGGAATACAGAGAGAAAATACGCGGAGAGTACTCTTTTCTTAGCGAACCTATGTACACTGCACTGCGACTGAAAGTATGTAACCTATAATCTGGTTTAATCTACTAGAAACAATTTCTAACAATAATCTGCAATAATTCGAATAAGTACAACAGTGTGAGATGATCTGACGGACGTCCAATGTTCCTAGGTGTTACAGAATTTTCTGCAAATTCCAAATATTTTTGCCACTATGGGGTTCCGCGAGAAGCTGGAGGAGCAGGCGCGTCAGAACATTCAAACAGAAGTGGAGCAGTTGTCTTAAAGATCACCGGTCGTTTCGCTTTGTATTCTTCTCATACTATCGAAGAGTTTTCATTGCAATTGTCAAACAAAATCTGCTGATAAAATGAATAGCTTCGACTTCGGTGATTCTTCGTGAAGAATCTTTCATCGAGATTTAAACGATGCAACAACTTATCCCAGTAAACACAAAGTAACAGTAACAGAACATTAATATTATAATTTCCCACTCAACAATGTAACTGCGATGTAACATGCCTCGTGCGTAGCAGTTACATTGTTGAATGGGAAATTATAACATTAATGTCACGTTACTGTTACTTTGTGTTTAGTGGGACGCGACGCCTACCTCATACAGATTGTCGTCGGTTTCATAGAAGTGTGAAAGAAATTTTGAACGTGGATCTTTATCGGAATAAAAAAATGTTATAAGATCGTGTTATATATTTCACTATATGTATATTTCTCTATGTTTTATTTTTTCTAAGTATATATGTGTATATTGTACGCGAGACTATCTATTTCTCATTACGCACAATCTCTTTTCTTACAGAACATTTTTGTTACATATCTAACATTTCTAATATGTTGAATATTCTATTGCAAATATATGTATTTAATTTAAAAAATACAAATTTTTATATAAGTTATAAATATTCGTTAAATGTGGGCGTACGCTATTAACAACTCATATACGCCTACAATAAAATAATTACATAAAAAAAGTTCGTGAATAATTACTTCTTAACTAGCAATCACTTTAGTTTGACAATTGTTCAATCAAACATTGAAAATGTCTTTCTCGTGTGCAATATAAAAATAATAATCTAGTTAATTGTCTTATTAAGATTTGTTAACGGAATTGACAAAGATAAATATACATATATTACACAGATTTATATTTTAGTTTATTGTAATGTGCAAAACTGAATTGAAAAACAGTAAATCAGAATGTTGTGTGAAAATCAGGAGATTATTTTTTTTGCATGACTAAAGTACTGTTAAAGCTTCTTAAAACTCTCCAGAAATTTTGAGAGTTTTGGACAAACTTAAAAAGTGAGTAATATTGCTGATTAGAGATCTTGAAAGACAAACTTGTGTTTCTTAATGAGAGATCCTACAAGACTTTTTGAAACAAGCTTGTGTTCTTTTAACTTCATACATTTTTTAACTATGTATATTGTTATATTTTACGCAAATTAAAATCAATCATTGCTGCGATAAAATGTAGTGCATTTTAAGACTTGTATTAAAATGTTTTAAAAAAGAGAAAGTTGTTAAATAATAAATAAAATGCGGCGGTGTTTTAACCATTAGAAGAGGTTCCCATATTTGTGAGAATTGCTCGTAAAAATGTTATGAATGTATAATGTAAAATAAAGACAATTATAAATATATTGTCAATCAATATATTGTATCATCGTTAACAGATAACATTCTGCAACTTTGAAAACTCTGCTGATTCCGAAAAATTTTTTTCTTTGTTTTTGCCCTTACGAAAAAGAACTACTGGCAGTAATATATTGCGGCAGTGGTACGAAAAAATTACTGGCATTCTGTGTAATTGCCAGTAATATTCTCAGTGATTCTTGTAATACCTAATAATATTCTTATGTGATTGTTAATAATATTTATATTACTGATTTTATTTATATGTAATCGGCAGTAGTTCTTTTTCGTAAGGGTTAATATTATAAATTACTTATTTGTGCAACAAAACACAAGAACGAGTGTATTATTCGTGAAGAAATATTTGATTTTGTCCTTTTCCTGTTCCTATCGATCTCACTTTGTGTTTCTAAGTAACTGATCGTGTTTACCTATAGATATGTATGTGTGCGCTTTTGAGAAATATTAATCTCACTCAGTTATTGTGAGGAAAAGTCTAAGAAGATATTAATCAGAATGTATACTAAAATTCCTTTTGAAAAGATATTCTAAAAATATTAGTGTATTATGCCGTTTCAACTAGAAACTAGTGAGAATACTTGTGACGACAGTGAGGTAAAACACATATGTATTATTAAGACACTTTTATACTAGAAGTTACAAATGTGTAATAATTGATGTAAACAATGCAGTATCAGAATTCATATCGCATGGAGCCGCAAAATTCGTTCAAGACTGATCAAGTAGACAAGATAGTGAGAACTGTTATGAACGATCGTTTAGACGAGTTCACGTACGATGATGCAAACGCTATAAAATTATGCTGCGACATCGCGGCAGATGTGCGACGACGCGTGAAGAAACTCAATTTTGATAGGTGACAAATCTCTGCATATTAAAATTAATACATAAAAAATGTACTTCTATGAAAAAAATAACACCTGCAAAAAGTTTAGAAATACTTATTCACTTTTAGGATTCTATATATTATCTTTCCAGATATAAGATTGTCGTTGTCGTCACGATCATCGAGAAGATCAGTCAGTCCGTAGAAACGACCCTAGGTTTCTTGTGTGACAATGGAACAGATGATTATTCCGTATTCTCTCTCGAAGGCCAGACTTTTTACGCACATTGCTGTACGCTCGGACTCTACTACGAGTAACAAAAAATCAAGTATTGACGTAAAACCTATCTTCGTCTATCAGTTCCTTTTGGTCATATGAATTACTATGTTTGGCTTACGATGGTGACACCCGGAAGAGTATTAAAGAATTAAAGAAACAGCAACGCAAGTAAATGCTACTTTAATGAATTAGTAATAATAGAAAATACAGAGATTACAAATAAGAAGCAAGAATATAATATAGATTTCAAAAAGAAGAACGGTAATTGACAAGTCTTTATGTAAATAAATTATTATATAAATTCTTTGTTTTTTTT